GAGGTCACATGTAGATCCTTGTAATCGGTTCCCCTTTTCCAACCCACTCTCCCTCTACGCTCCCAGTATCACCACTCACACCACTGGTCCTGAAGGGATCATCGGGCGTGCTATCATTATGCCCATTTGGCACACATAGAAGTGACATCACGGAGGAGGACCGCATTTGCCCAGGCCGTGCAGTTGATAAATAGCAGAGCTGGCACTTGATGCGCACTGTTGTGCCAGAGCCCCTACACTGTCCCCACTGGAGTGTCTTTGTCCCTGAGACCTCAGGGACCACATCTCCTTTCCTGGCCGCAGCTTCCCTCTGTCCCTCCTTTCCAACCCCATGGACAGTTCTAGGCCCTCTTTGTTTCCTCCCCGATTGCACTCGGTCTCATAGCCCTTCCTGTCACCAATTCTTTGTAAACCCAAGCCTTTGTCCTCTCACCATCCATCTCCTCAGCCCCCTGAAGCCCCCTTCCAGCACCCAGGTCTGTGAAAACCTGACTTGATCCCTGTGCGACTCCAGGGCAGGAATGGAAGCTTTTCTTTGAAAGCTGGCTATTTGGGAACTTTCTGCAAAGTTTTGGCGAAAATGGTGTCCTTGTTTAGAGGAGGGACTCCTTGAAGAGTCTTTAGGGAGGCACCGTGGGTGGGTGGGGCCTAGGCTGACTCCAGATAGGAGAGTGGGGAGCAGGGGGGAGGGGAAGGCTACTGCCAGCCTTGCTGCCTCACACGCCCTTGTGAGCCCCACTCCCGTGCTCGAGTGTGGATGCAGCCTCTAGGGCTCAGCACCCCGAGAAGGAGGCCTTCCTTTCTCCCCATCCTCAGCAGGGCTGATCCCCATGTCATGAAACAACTGGGGGGGCGTCTCCCACTCTCCCCTTGGGTTATGAGAGGAGTCATTGTCCCCCCACCTCAAAACCCTCACCCACGTGATTCTTCCCAGAGTGCTTTCCTCACATGACAAGGCCCTACACCATCTACCACCCATCCCCCCAACCCCACCTTGCACCTCATCACTCATCAGGGCCTCAGGGCTGCAGCCACACTGCCTCCCTGGCTCTTCCTCACGCTCCAACTGAGATTCTGCCTCCGAGCCTTTGTCCCTGTGGTTCCCCATGCTGGGAACATACTCCCCTAGAAATCCAACTGTCTTGCTCCTTCATGTCATTCCGTCTCTTCTCAAATGTCACTGCCTCAGAAGGACTCCCCTGCACCTACTTTGCTAACATTGAACGTGGTCCCTTGCTGTCTCACCCCGCTTCCATTAGCCTCGGAGAGCTGATCATTAAATTCATTGCCCTCCAGTCGGTTCCAACCCCTAGCAACCGGATGTCACAGCACACTTTTCAAACAGTTGAAAACATGACTGTCATCCAAGCATGGGGTAGGAAGTGTCAGAGCTTTCTTTGAGTCATTATTAGTGAGGGAACCACAGGTTGACAGAGCTGGTTCAGAAAGAGAGATGAGAAACTGACCCAGGTTATCAACAGGAGAAAGGATGCCAGCAGCAGGGTGCAGGGTTAGAGCCTACATTGGCTACTGTCCTGTAAGACAAGTCAGCATCCTTTGGTGTTATTTATTTTCCCAGACAGAAGTTATTCGCATTTTTCTGGACAAAAAGAATTCATAGCTTATCAATCTTCTTTGAGTTAACATTTAACATCTTAGAGATGAGTCCCTAATCAATAACGAAGAACAAATATTTTTTTAAAAAGTAAGTTAGACAAAAGTTACTACCCTAGAATAACCACCAAAAAAAATAAAAAGAATTCACTGTCATGGAGTTGTTTCAAACTCACGGCGACCCCGCAGGACAGAGCAGACCCGCCCTAGGGGGTTTCTGAGACTTTCACTCTTTATGGGAGTAGAAATCCTCGTCTTTCTCCCAAGGAGCAGCTGGTGGTTTTGAACTGCTTGCCTTGCAGACTTCAGCCCAATATGTAACCACGATGCCACCAGGGCTCCTATGTCCAATACCAATCTATAAAGTCCTCTTCAGACTCATGAAACACATGAAATGATGCTGAATGAAGGAAGAGCACAGGTCAGTAGGTGGGAAGTCTTGTGGATCCAGTGGCATTTTAAGCATCTCAGTGCTGGCAAGGGTCTCCATGTGGCTTCTCCAGCTCAGGGCACTAGCGTAGCTCCATGTATCTTGTCAGCTGCAATGTCTCCCAGGGAGTGAGCAGAGAGAGAGTGTATCTCCTGCCTCCAAGGAGGAATACCAGAGTTTCCAGAATCCTCAGGAGAAGGCCATGCCCACACAGAGACCTCATTGGCTATGACCTGATTGATAGGCTAGACTCTATCCTTCACTCTTAATCCTCTCAAATTGACAAATGATTATATAACTACCATACCATGGTATTGTAAATCACTTTTTTAAAAAGTATATTCCAGTGAAACTATTTTTATTTATTTAATTTTAATAAATCATTTTATTAGGGGCTCTTATAACAATCCACACATCAATTGTATTCAAGCACATTTGTACATATGTTGCCATCAACATTTCCCAAACATTTCCTTTCTACTTGAGCCCTTGGTATCAGCTCCTCTTTTTTGCCCTCCCTCCCCCACCCTTCCACCCTCAGGAACCCTTGATAATTTGTAAATTATTTTTTCATATTTTACACTGTCCGCTGTCTCCCTTCACCCACGTTTCTGTTGTTTGTCCCCTTGGGGTGCGGAGCATGTTGTACATCAATCATTGTGATCGGCTCTCCCTCACTCCCCCTGCTCTCCCACCTCCCCCCTGCCCTCTTAAATCACTTTATATGCAGGAGGGAGTGGACAATGAATAAGGAAGACTGGAGAAGAGTGGATGCATTTGAATCATGGTGCTGGCTAAGAACACTGTAAGAGCCACGCACCGCTAGAAGACCAAACAAATCTTTTTTGGAAGCAGTACAGCCAGCATGCTTCTTAGAAGCAAGGACAGCAAGACTTCGTCTCATGTATTTTGGACATGATTAGGAGAGATCAGTCCCTGGAAAAGAGCGTCATGCTTGTAAACTAGAGGGTCAGCAAAAAAGAGGAAGGGTCTTGGCAAGACGGGTTGACAGAGAGACTGCCAATAATGGGCTCAAACATAAGAACAATCGTGAGGACGGCGCAGACTGGGCAAGCCTTCGTGTCGTTGCACATGGGGCCACCGGGAGTCTGAACACACTCGACAGCATCCAGCAACAGCACACACTTGATCCATTTTCTCAAAGGACATCGGACAGTCCTGAGGGCTTATTTGGAATGAGTTTAAAAAACATTGAAAACTGCATTGGTGAGAAAAAGGACAAGAAATGTACGCTGAGGATTTTTTTTTCTACCATGACAATACATCTGCTCATTCTTCAAGGGTAGCAAGAACTGTGGTGAAGAAACTAGCTGGGGCAGGCTGTCAGATAAAAGAGTATCTAGGGCCTTAAAGGCTTGTATCCAAACAAGCAGCTATCTAAGAGAGATGTCAGTTAAGTCCATGTGGACGAAAGACACCAAGATCAGTGATCGAAGGATTGTAAATCATGTAATCTGAAGCCGAAGGAGGGAACAGTATGAGAGCCTCA